GAGGCATCACATTAGTTTGACCCGGCTTGCCCAACATCTGTATAAACTGGGTGCTTCAGCGGGGCTTTTTTAGCATGTTTAATAGCTGATTGAATCAGCTATTAGATAAAAGCACCAAAAATCTCTGCTGAAGTGCCCAATCTATACAGACACTGCTAAGCTGGATCAAACTAACGCGCTGCCTCTTCCCGTCAAGTGAAGTTTGTTTGTTTTTTCACATCTGTCACCAGCATTCATCTTGTTCCCACAGAATCTTTTAGTGCCACTTCCCAGTTTCTACAACCTAATCTATCCTTTTTGTATAGACATGACCCTCAAGATGCCATGTCATTAACTTTGGGAAATTTCCCTGCACAGATCTTCAACTAAGGTAACTTTTCATTGAATTCAACACAGAATTCAGCAACCAGTCACTTATTTTAAAACAAACAAAAAAAGCGGCAGTGGCAATTTTTGCATAAGAGCCGAGCAGTTAGCTCACTCACTGGAGAAGTAAGACCTGGATTAAAGACTTCCGTTAGTCTGAAAATATTGAAACTCACATGTCCCATTTCCCTAATCCTTCTCCCTCCCAGGAAAGGGCCCTAATCAGTAGCTATAGACTACTCTAGGTGGGGATGCTTGCTGCTCCTCTTTTTGAAGCTAAGCCACTAGATAGCAAAGAATGCAAGATTCCTAGAGTTGGAAGGAGTGAGTAAGGGAGCGTGCCCACTTGAGTCCAGGCTTTATAGGGTAGGATGTTGTGCTTCAGTCCCTGCTCCCTGGACTTTTTAATATATTTTTCATTAAACAGTCACTGGAGGAACACAAGATAATGTTGAGAACAGCCTGTATGTATATCAGGCTTAAGAAACTCCAGAATCAGAGATGTAGATATGCTAAAAGAATATTTTCATATTAAAATATATCATTCCTAGAAACGCAAAAATCTAGACCAACTGAGAAATTGCAAAAAAAAAAATCAAATCTTTTTCTGCAAACTTTCGGGCTCATGTGCCCTTCATCAGGTTCATGGAAGGACACATGAGCCCGAAAGCTTGCAGAGAAATAATTTTTTTTTTTGCAATTTCTCAGTTATTTTAATAAAAGGTATAATTTTGGAACCAAGAGTTCTATATTTTTGCATTTCTTTGTCTCAGACCAACATGGCTACCACATTCATTCCTAGAAAGGCAGACAAGGTTCTTTGAGTAAATACGATATCTTTTATTAGACCAACTCAAATAGTTGGAAAAATTCTTCTTAGCAAGCCTTTGGCACAAACACCCTTCATCAGGCTGAGGAAGCAACTGCATTCCTAGAAATGCACTCAGCAAACAGTATAAATATGTGTGTATTAATAACCATTCAAAAATGTTTGCATGCATTTTTAGTTAGTATATATGAAAGGACAAAATTAAGATATGTTTCAGATGCATATTTGCATGTGCAGGCCTTATAGCATATGAATATTAACTCATAAATTTGAAATATATATGTAGTGCCTGTGTCACATAGGTTGATGAAGTGTTTTCCAGTCTATTAGTAGCCAGGAAGATGTTGAACTATAAGCTGGAGTCTGGTATCCCCTGCCTTGCCTTCATTGCAGTTACATTAAAGTACGCTACTTGTGTATGCTAACTTAAATATGATTATGAATAGATGTGATGTATGCTATATGTATGCTGCCTGCTGTATGACCCCTCTGCTGTATGAGGGTCACTGGCGCAGGTTCAGCGGGCCTAGTAAACTCCAGAACCTCTGAACTATTGACCACTGGTGTGAATGCACGTGCATGACTAAGAAGAAAGTGAGAGAATGTGCTAGGGAGCATGTGCGAGTGAGATGTCAATTACCGGTGACTTCTGGAACCTTTGTGTATGGGGGTTATAAATGGAGAGTGTGTGAGGGGCGAGTTTGAGGGTTGGAGCAGTGTGGGTGTTGGACTGTGCGTTGTAAGGTGTGGTTATAGGTTGTGAATCTTAGTGTGTGGAGTTGTGGATTCTGTGATTCAGCCCTTGTGGAGATTGAATAAGAGCCAAGCTGTGTGACTCTTCCTCAGAGTTTCCATTGCCTCAAATAGAGCGCTGAAGTCAGTCAGCTCCCGAGAACCAGTCCCTCTTGGAGTGAGTGGCTGCTAGCCTCTGTGCAAGTATCACCCAACCCCAGGTGAGGGATTGTGGATAGATTAGGCCTTAAACACTCCATCTGTAAATATTTAGATGTAGCATTTGTATATAGTGGTTCTAGTTCTAGTGTGTTAGTTTTGTTTCAATAAACTCTACATTCAATTTCACTTGTATTAAGGTTTCAATGTTTAATTTATGCAAATCTGTTAATTGGCTTGAGGCAGCACAGTGACAGATCTGTGAATACCTCAAGTGTGACGATTGCACCCATCCCTTACTTGGAGTTTTTGGAACTAATTAGACTAAGTGAGTGTTTCAGATTGGCTTTCAAAGTCTCCACCCAACAAAACATTATCTATTGAAGATAGACATTTTAAAGGTAATTTATTCTTAAAAATTATGTCTGTACAACATAATGTAGTGCAATGCAGAGATACCTTTAGACACAACTGAACATGCAATCTCATGTGCCAGTCTACTTGACCCAAAGCAATGCTACACAAAGATACCCAGGTTAGCACTCCACACATTAGCTTTGATAAATTTGTATTAGCGTGATAGTCAGGCTAATAAGCCAGCTCCTCAGTTGAGCTAATTAGCCAAGTGCAGTGCCCTACTAACATAATAATAATGTGTCTGCTTCTACAGCTAATGTGAAGAGGTAGCTGAGATATCTATATAGTGCTACCCTCTAGTATAAATATATCATCAGAATCTTTGAAGAGCTGGGAAATTAGGTTTCTGGTCTACTGGTGTTCATTTTTAATGGAGCGTGGAATTCCCCAAATGATATTTTAGAAGACTAAAGGAGTATTGAAGGGTACTCAATCGATAAGTGACTCAAGGCACGTCTACACATGATGCTACTTCATAGTAGCAACACACTACAGCATCATAGCATCAGTGAATAAAAACTGTGATGCCACAACTACGTCGCCATAGCGGCATGCTCCCTTGCTATAGCATGTCACTACAGCAATGTAGCAGCTAAAAAAAACCATGCACCACATAAACAGGGCAGTATGGGCTGTTACTAAATGACAGCACAGTAACAACAGCGCTGTAGAGGCACACGTAGATAACAATAGTCCTCAAATAGTCCTCAAATCTGAGGGCCCTCAGATAACAATAGTCTAGTTAGCCTGATCTCAGTCCCATGTGAAATAATGGAAACACTGATACAAGATTCAATTACTAAAGAATAAAAGGAAAGTAATCTAATTGATGCTTATCAACATTATTTTATGGAAAATAAGACTGATCAGACAAACTTGATTTTATTCTTTAGTAATATTACACATTTGATAAAGATAACTGCATAAGTGTGCCTGACTTTTCTAAAGCAGGGATTGTTTTGCTACTGTTTGTGACTCACCTCTCCACTGCAGGCTGCAAGTCCATACTCCCGGTGGTCAGCACATGTTTTAGAGTTAAAACAGAATGACGCAGGTTGTGGGACAAGGGAAGCTGCCTCTACTGCCTTAGCTTCAGTTTGGTGCTGCTTTCCTGAGCTGCTTCAGGCTGGATCCAGTTTCTCCAGGAACCAGAATTTACATAAATTTACACTGATTGCATCTAGTTATATTGATTGCTCTTTCATTCTTTCCCCCACCCCCTCCTATTTAACATGTTGATATTTAATTTCTAATTACTGCCTCCACTTCACCACTAAATTAGGACAGACTTGTAGTCAAAGCTCTCCTCTTTCTTGATTGTAGAATCTCACTTTCTGGTCACTTAATATATTCTTCAAAAATTCTAAATATTTGTGCTCTTGCAATGTACTATTCTCATTGTTGCTAAATACTATGATGGAAGCATATTACAATTTCATCATCCCTGCACACTTACTAACTGGATAAGACTAGAAAAAAAGCAAAGAACCAGAAAGAAAAAAAATCAGACCCATACAATTGTATTGAATTCTTCCGCTGGTCTTTCATAAAAACAAGATTTAATTAATTGTTATGAAAGAATTTATTATTTTCATTATAATAAAGATAAATAGTATAAGCAGAGAAACTTTGGCTTGGACATTACTGAACAGACAGTTAAGAAACTTTCAATATAATCTTTATTTATATTACCGAATCAAAATATTTTGATTCTGTTCCAGATTCTCTCTTTAAACTTTCAGACACAGTGTCAAAAAAGGTCACTTACAAATCTATAACAATCACCAGTGTGAGCAGGTGTCCCAAATCAAGTCAGAAAGACAGTGCATTTTGGCAGAGCCTTCCCCTTGCATTTTTCTTGTCTGCCACGACTTTGATGGGAGTTAAAGTTAGTACTCACAGGTGGGTGGCCTCTGATTTTTAACTAATGCCCAGAGTAATGCTTATTCTTTTCTTGATACTACTGCAGCTGGGGAAGACAGCAAACCACCTCCCCAGAGGTAACACCCTTATGCATTGAAACCATTTTTGGGGAAGGCTTAGGTCCTTACCCAACACTTGGTGTTTCCTTCTTCCCCCCTCTGCTCTCTCTCTCAGAAAGCAGAGATAAACAAACTGCAAATCAAATTGTTAATTGGCCAGCTGCAGGCTTTTTAATTCGCTCTTTCTCTCCTCATGGAGAGATCCAGCTTCCAGCCTGGTCAGGTAATGTAATCAGTCCACAAAAATGTTCAATCCCAATGTCTAGCAACAAAGTCTCCAGTTAAGCAGAAGTACCTGGTCCCACAGAGTTTTCAGTGAGGTTCACTACCAGTGTAACAGGCTGCCTGGCTTCTGTTTGCCTTTGGGCACACTGCCTGCGTCACTCCCATGCCTCCACATGGGAAACTGGCTCTGTCGTTGCAGCTGTCTCTTGGCTCCGGCTCCTCTCCCCTTCCAGGGAAATCATTAATCAAGTCTAGCTCCTCTTACAGGGGCTTGTTAATTGACACTTTACCAGATGTGCCAGTCTCCGATGCAGCGAATGCTCTAGGCACCAGCCAAATGACGTCATCTCGTCATGAAAACACAACAGAATAGGTATTATGATACATTTATTTCAGCCTACCAGCTTCCCAAACTATCAACAACTGCCACTTTCCAAGAATGTATTTTCTTAAGCATCTATTCAGCTAAGAATGTTGGGCTATTACAGAAACATGCATGGAATAACAGCAAACTATCAGCTAGAATCTACAAGACCTGTGTGCTACCATCCTTGCTTTATGGTTCAGAAACATGGACTACATATGCTAGGCATATCAAGAGACTGAACAGCTTCCACATGAGATGTCTGCATAAGATTCTGAAAATAAGGTGAGAAGAAATTATACCAAATACAGAGGTACTGAAGTAAACAGGACTGACACACTTAGAACACACTATCAAGAAGAGGAGGTTATGATAGATGAACCATGTTAGGAGAATGGAAGAAGACCCTATACCCAAGAATAATTTGCACAGTGAGCTTTCTGATGGCTCTAGAAAGCAGGGTCACCCTCTATGGTGGTACTACGTTGTGTGCAAAGATCGTATGAAGGGTTTGCTCATTGTAGCCATGTTGGTCTAAGAACATAGGCAGGCAAAGTTCTTTGGGTAGATGTGATATTTTTATTAGACCAACTAAGTAGTTGGGAAAAAGTTCTTTGCAAGATTTTGGGCACAAACCCTTTGTCAGGCATAGGGAGACTCTGCTGTTGTTATGTATTATACATTGTTATGTATTATATGAAGTCATTCAACATCAACGTATAAAGCTGGGAGGATGGCACAGAATCCTAACCAATCTGGAGAGAAAATCTGGCACTGGGTACAGCTCAACATGAACTGGCTCTGATCCAGAGGATAGAAGCAAAACAAAAAAAGAAGGAAGCAGCATGCTGTAAACTTGGATTCCAACTCAGACAATCCATGGATCTGTGAAATTTTTAACAACTTGTGTCACTCAAATTTGGCATGTCAGCCACAGATGGATTAATCAGGCATCTGACTAAACCTCTCATGTGTACACCATGATCCAGTGGATTGACAGTTGCCTACTACTACTCAACATTAAATCAGCCTTCTAAATTGCTCACCTGCAGATTGATCCTGTATGATACCAAGCTCCTCTAATCTAAGTGGATATATCACAATAACAAATTAGGCTTTAACCCTTTAAGCTCCAAAACCAATCTTCCCCAGAGTTTCTAAATCCACTGAACTTTTACAATGAATGTCTATCAAAACATACACGTTTATATTGATTTCTTTTGAATTGATTTAATTATGATAGCTTAACAAATGAGAATCAATCATTCTGTAGCGTATAAAGTGCTGTCAGGTTGATTTTTCAGAAACTAGTTTGACTTCCTGTGGATTTGTGTACTTTCCTTTTCCCTTTGTGCACTTATTTACTTCATGGTAAATGTTACATTAGTTATTCAGAATCAGAAGTCATGGTAGAGGTGATGTCTTTCATTAGACCAACTAGATTTTTGCAAAAAAAATTCTTTAATTGCAAACTTTTGGGCGCAAGCACCCTTCTTCAGGCATAGGAGAGAAGATTGTAAAAGTTCTTCTAGGTTGAAATTAAAGTTTGTATTTTATAGGAAAGTTAAAGGTGTGGTAAAATCTTTTGTTAGGAACAGTTCATTTTATGCCAGTTAGGCTCAGAGAAAATGGAATAGTCCATTGTCCTCAAAGTTGTTTGGTGGCAAGCAGGATGTAGTCATATTTCCTTCTGGTTATAATGTTTCATATTTCATAGAAGAGTGTGAGTGGGCAGCCTTACCTGCTACTCTTCACCACATTGGAATCATGGGGACCTCTACCTCATCTTCTCTCCCTCTTTCCTGCCATGTCTTTGATGTCAAGTTATTCTCAGGAGTACAGATGGTCTCTCGAGTGACGATCATATAGACAAGGTCATTCTTCCACAGAGCTCCACCACCCCTACACCCTGCCCCTTTCAACTCGGGTGATAAGTCATCTTTTCCCACTGGCATTGAGTGCAAGTCACTGGTTCTCAGGTCCCCTCTGGCCTGGATCAGCTTTGGTCTTCACAAGAGGTTGATGGCCATGCTCTCTAGGTGGGCCTCTTCTTCTTGGGTGTTAAAACTCAGCTTGTGATATTCTTCTTTCTCTCTGGGATCAGTGAATATCTGGGAACTGGGTTCTCTGCCTGCCAGTCCCAGGGGTTCACACTCAGACGCCTCACTGAGTCTCAGATGTTGACTCGCTGATTTGATATATTTGAACTGAGGTGTGCAGGGGACCTGTCTTTCCCCAAAATGTTTCCCTAACCTGGGATTATGGAACTATACAACAAAAGAAAAAACTTCTGAGCCTGTTCTAGGCTCCAGTTCTACTGTTGGTAGCTGCCTCAAGCCTGTGGGCTCTTTGGTTCAGTTCCTCCAGGCAAATCACTCCTTTGCCCAGGAATCTAGGACATTCAAAGGCTCACTGCCTCTGGTATCCCCTCCTGCCCCCTCTCCTGAGGGCTTAACAC